CAGAGTGAGCCTCTGTCTCAAAAAAAAAAAAAAAAGAGCTGGGCTTGGTGCTGTATGCCTGTAGTCCCAGATACTTGGGATGCTGAGGTGGGAAGATCACTTGAGCCAAAGACTTCAGCTGGGAGGCAGAGGTTGTAGTGAGCCAAGATCATGCCACTGCACTCCAGCCTGGGTGACAGAGCGAGACCCTGTCTCAAAACAAAACAAAACAAAAAAATTAACAGGACATGGTGGCAGTATGCCTGTAGTCCTAGTTACTTGGGAGGCTGAGGTAGGAGGACTGCTTTACTCCAGGAGTTTGAGGCTGCAGTGAGTCGTGAAGCCACCACTGCACACCAGCCTGGGTGACAGAGCTTGTCTCTAAAAAATAAAAAACCAAATAAGTAAATAAAAATAAAGTAATAATGTTCTGAGTGCAACTGAGTACACTCTGGAGTATAAATCTGAGCCTTCCCAAATATAAGTCATGTGACCTTGGGTTATATAATTGGCACTAAACTACTCTAAGCCTCAGTTTCTTCATATGTGAAATGGGTGATAAGAATGACACCTATCCTCACACAGCTGTTTTGAGGATTACATGAGCTGATGTAAGAAAAGCTCTTAGCATGATATCTGGTATACAGTAAATGCCCAATCAAGATTTGCTGTTGTCGTAAGCACCTACAGGAACAACTGTTCCTAGGTCAAGTGTGTTAGACACCCTAATCCATTCTCTGTCTGCTTTCTTCCTATAATGGGGGTTAGTCAGAAAAGGAAGGAAGGAAAGGCCATTTTTTCCATTTAAACAGGGACCACACTGTACAATAGAAAGTAAAACTCAGAATGAAATGCACAATGTTCATGGTGGGTCTGTTCTGAAATCATTCAAGTATTCTAGGTTGGATTCACAGAGGGGCTTTGTGGGCACACTAAGCAAGAGCAACTACAAACAACACTTAGGCCCTTTCATTCAGATTTCAAAAGCCTTTCTCTTATGTATCACTAGTGCTATAAAATAATGCAACAAAGAACTTCTTTATACACTTTCTTCTGCAGTCCTTTAATCAGTGGACTCCCTTCAAAAACAACTTTAAACTGATAGCCATTTTAAGTGATCCCGTGCTAAATTTAGCCCACAGTCAATCCATTTGTTGTTGTTATTGTCTTTTTTTTTTTTTTTTTGAGATAGAGTCTT